ATCTTTTTGGTAGTCTCTGCTTTGAACCAGGATCCAAGTGACAGCAGCCATGATTATCCTTTGTTCCACGTCCTCTTCTGAATCCAGCCTGAATCTCTGGCAGCTCCCTGTCAATGTATTGCTACAACCATTGTTGAATGGTCTTTGGTAAAATTTTACTTGCATGCGATATTAATTACATTGTTCTATAATTTAAGCGTTCTATAGAACTAGGATAAATATGGATCTCTTCTAGTTATGTGGCCAAGTAGCTGTCTTCCAAATTTCCTGGTATAAATAAGGAGGTGCATCCAGTGCTTCATCAGTTTGTTGGAACAGTTCAGTTGATATTCCATCAATTACTGGAGCCTTGTTTTGGGCTAATATTTTCAGTGCAGTTTGAACTTCTTCATGCAGCACCACTGGTTTCTGGTTATATGTTACCTCCTGAAATGGTGGAATGTAGACTAGTTCTTTTTGGTCCAGTGACTCTGTGTATTCTTTTGATATTTCCTGCATCATTCAAAATTTTGCCATAGAATCTTTCAATATTGCAAGTCAAGACTTGAATTCAGTTCTTTCCATTTAAAATATGCTAAGCATATTCTTCTGTTTGGTTTTCTAACTGAGTGTAGAGATAAAAACATAAAAAGAAGAAGAAGATAATATCAAGGACTCTAAAGGACTCTAAATTATCAAGATGAGATGGTATCAAGGAAAGTAATAAGGAAGTTTCATGGAATTATGACAACCTGGAATTTGGATCAGGTATGGATGCCTATGATCAGTAGCATGGCTTTCACCTCATTTTACATGAATGCTGATAACCACTGGGAATTTTTCTTCTCTTATATTTGCCCTTGGGTTAGTGTATGATCATGCTTCAGATTTTTATTTTATGAAAAAAGCAGTGGTTGAAATGTTCGTGTTTACAACCCAATTATTTGGTTTAAGATTTTGATTTTGCCACACACCATGTAAGTAAACTCCATGACCTTCTATTTCCTCGTCTGTAATGGATGATGACAATATCAAGTTCACAGTGATATGGTTGTTGTTAAGTATTGTTGAATTGGTTCTGACTCATACTGACCCCTATGTACCACAGAACCAAACACTACCTGATCCTGTGCCACCCTCACGTTCCATTTTATGTTTGAATCTGTTGTTGAAATCTCTGTGTCAATACATTCCGATGCAAACCTTTACCTTTCTTCACGGACCCTCTTCGTTGCTACGCATGATGCTCTTCCCCATGGACTTGTCCCTGCTGACAACATGACCAAAGTATGTGAAATAGAAAGCTCACCATCCTTACTGCTAATGAGAATTCTACCTATTCATCTTGCAAGAGAGATTTCCACCAAAGGTGGTGCTTTGAACCTATCCAAAGGTACCTAGAAAGAAAGGCTTGGTGATCCGCTTCCAATATGTTGTAGTCATGACAACACTGTGGGACCCAGTTCTACCTGACCACGCATGGGTCATTCTGAATGAAAAATGAACTGTTTATTGGTTTTACCTTTCACGAGAGCCCCCTATGGGCCTGCCTCCTGCATTCTGGTGCCATTTGATAGAATACTGACAGGGTGGGAGCTGGTGTTGATGTTGAGCAGAGGATTATCTTTTTATATTGCAAGTTTCCACAAGAAAGGTTCCATCAGTGATATAGGCATTGTAGAAAAGAATCGATGTGCTTGGCAAATTCGGGCTTCAATAAAGTTTCTTTCATGTAGATTTCTCAGAGCCTTTCAGATAATAAAAGGATTGATTGCGAAGTCAGCCAGAATGGATAATGTATGGCTTCTTTCTTAAGTTTTTGGCCATGGGAACGTTTGAAGGATGTATCTTGAATACATTCTTTGGTAGAAAAGCTCTTGTAGATAAACACAGTGGGTGATTAGCTATCTTGATTTTTTTAAGCTGTAATATTACTTTTTTTTTTCTTTCAACAAATCATTTTATTGGGGGCTCTTACAGCTCTTATAACAATTGTATCCATCCATCAATTGTATCAAGCACATTTGTACATATGTTGCCATCATCATTTCCCAAACACTTTCTTTCTACTTGAGCCCTTGGTATCAGCTCCTCTTTTTACCACTCCCTAGCCCTCCCACCATTGTGGACTTTTGATAATTTAGAAATTATTTTTATTTTCATAGTTTATACCATCTGCTCTCTGTCTCCCTTCACACAGATTTCTGTTGTTCGTCCTCCTAGGGGGAGGGTTGTACGTTGACCATTGAGATTGGTTGCCCGTCTCCCCCTTCTCCACACACAGTCCCCCTACCCTCATAGTATTGCTATTCCCACTACTGTTCCAAGGGGTTTATCTGACCTGGGTTCCGTGTGTCAAGAGTTCTTATCTGTACCAGTGTGCATGCTCTGGTCCAGCCAGATTTGTAAGGTAGAACTGGGGTCATAACAGCTGGGGTAGATGGTGCGGAGCATTGAATGACTAGAGGAATGTGTGTTTCCTCAGTGCTATACTGCACCCTGACTGGCTTGTCCACTCCTTGTGACCCTTCTGTGGGGTAATGCCCAACTGTTTACAGATGGGCTTTGGGTCTGCATTCCAATCCCCCTCATTTGCATCAAAATGATTGTTTGTTTTGGGTCTTCTGATGCCTGATACCTGATCCTGTCGACACCATGTGATCACAGGAGTTGGTGTGCTTCTTCCATGTGGGTTTTGTTGCTTCCCTGCTAAATGGCTGCTTGTTTAACTTGAAGCCTTGAAGACTCCAGACAAGATATCTTTAATAGCCAGGCACCATCAGCTTTCTTCACCACATTTGCTTATGTACCCATTGTGTCTTCAGTGATCACGTTGGGAAGCTGAGCATCACAGAATGGCAGGTTATTAGAACAAAGTGTTCTTGCGCTGAGGGAGAGCTTAAGTAGAGGCCCAATGTCCCTCCGCTACCTTAATACTTAACTTGTAAATATATGTACATAGACCTATATCCCTATTATTATGTATTAATATATTTACATGTGTACATACCTATATTTATACCTCTATAAATGTCTTTTGCCTCCTAGTTCTTTCCTCAATTTCCTTTTAATTTCCTCCTGTCTCACTACCGTGTTTGACCTTCATTCAGCTCTCTATACTTAATCTACACTGCACTTACTCTGGAATTGTAGCATGCGATAAACAAAAACAAAACCCAAACCAAAAAAAACCGAAAAAAACCCCAAACCCATTCCTTACCATCCTGCTGGTTGTCCTCTGGCAAAGGATGAGCATTCTACCGTGTGTCACCACTTGGAGAGAGGACACAAACATTCCGGACACGACACTGACTGGGAGTTTCCTTGCTCTTTAGGGTGGATGCCTGGGTATTGTAGACTGAATAGCCAGTAGATCAGAACTACTGTCCCCCAAGATTGGCCATTTATTGCTAACAGATATGTTTATATGTGTCAGTGGTATAGTCCGAGCTGTGACACTTGAGTTAACTGAGGAAGTTCACACCTTCTGGGGAACTGACTTGAAGGTTTCAGCGGCCATTGCATCAGGGTCCGAGAGATGAAGAATGTCAAGATGAGGACTAAGAATGTCAAAATGGAGTTTTCGGAATACTTCATTACTCTCCAAAGAATGTTGTAATTTTCTGAGTTAATGCCAATGCACACTTTCTGAGTTGGCAGTCTAAAACAGCAATTCGTGTTCCAGGTTACAACACCAAACAAAACCCAAGTTATGTCCGATATAATTTCACAACACCTATCATTTCAAGACACAGCCATTCCTGTAACTTCTGTGTTTAAAGATCCTGATCTCAACCTGCGGCAGTAGAGACTTTGAGGATCAGATCGGCCCCCACAGGAATCCTGAGCCCAGGAGGTAACTTCCGGTGTTTTCAGGACTTGGCCCACTCAGATGTCCTCCAAGTGGTGCAATACAAGTCATTTGGCTTGTTCCTAGCACACTATAGCTCAGGAGTGTTTTATATTGTTATTTAAGGACTATTTGCTTAGTTTGGATAATAAAACAACACTTAAATAATTTCAATGACAAAAATAAAACCAATGAAAAAAAACACCTAAAAAGAATAAGGAAAAGTTAGGAGTAAGATAACTCATATCATAGTTAATAATGGACGAGTGACTCCTGTGATATTTACTGTACTTGTTAAACATACTGCTAATATGAATATGAAGGCATACCTTGGATGAGGTTGTTTTCTGATAGCACTAAATGAAATTTTAATTTCACATGGCATGATGAATACAAACTCCTTAATAAACATCAAATGATTAACCAGAACAGTACATCAAAACACATTTGCAAAGTATTTTTAAGCTTCAAAACTTATAAAGTTGTATGCATAATTTTAGTTTGTATCATTTTGAAAATGTTTTCAAACATTGATGAAAGGAGAAGACATCATTCAAAGAATAGTTTTTATCAAAAAATGAATGTGCATCATAGCTATAGAAAATTCCCATGTACTTGTAGATATTTTAGGAATTATAATGCATTTTCAAACACAGCATCTGGAAGAATCTTTGAAGAATGTGAAAGAGAAATCCTTAAGCTTGCTCCAGGTGCCGCTGGCACCGGGCATGGTGCTCAGAGCTGGAAGCACTAGAAATCTGGAGATGGGGACGGAGCATCATTTCCATTTGCCTCATCATTTAACAAAAAATTGTATCAAACCATTCTCTCCAGATCCTTTAAAATGATTTTCCAATGAGAGGGTGATTGACCAACTTTATATATATATATTTTTTCCTTTCTTTCATGAGATTCTTATATTTTATATTTTTATATTTATGTGCTCTTTAACTTTATATATATTTTTTCTCTCTTTCATGAGACTCTTAGACTTTATCTTTTAAGGTTGTTATTTTTTTAGTTCTCTCAACTGACCTTGGTAAGGCACTCCTCCTTCCCTCCAACATCTTCACCAATTCTTCCTTCCTATCATCGAGTTCGCGTTTCTAGTGGTAGCAGAGCATTAGTTTGGGAGAGTTCCCGTAAGTGGGCACAGCACTGGAAGGCTTACCTCTCTCAAGAGCGTGGACAAACGATACCATAAGCAGCAGACCCAGGACCCCTTTCATGTTCCCACCGGGCGAGGCCTGATGTGCCTTCTGTCTCCTGGAGGCGACCACGTGAAAGATGGCAGCCAAGAGTAACCAGTTCCCTTTTACCAGGACTCCCAGTGCTAACTAATCAATTATTAATCTCTATAGAGGACCAGAGGCCAGTCATCCTTGGCCCACAAGAGATAAAATGATATCTCAAACAAGGCAAATATACACTCGGGATCATGCTGTGGAAAGCCTCGGAGATTTCAATCATTAACTTTGTCCAACTGCAAAAAAGCCAGAGTAGGCATAGTTTGTTTCCCACTGCGTCTTTTCACCAACATGTATTTAATGTGTTAGTAAGGGGGGAATATTCTCCTCCTTAAATGATTATATTTCTCCTTCCAACATCCATTTCCCTTCTAAGCTATAGGTAGAGTTTTGGGGAATGTCTTTCTCTGCTAGCTAGCTGTCTGTCTCTGTTTAACCCAAACCGAAATAGGATTATCCTAAAGTCTTGCAAATCAGATGTTTGAAGCAATAAAGGTAGAAAAGAAGAATGAGAAGCTAATTCAGCCTCATTCCTCAAATCCATCATTTCAATGTTATAAACAATTTTAAGTGAGAAGGTGATTGTGATGTATTTGTGCTTAGTTCTTTACTCTGATATTGGCCTCTTTGTGCCGAGTTTAAAGCTATTCTAATACTAAACAACTAGTATGTCTTAGAATAAAATGATTTCAGTGCTCACAGTGGGTTAGAGACCATACGTTCCAACACCTTCCTTTTCCAGGTGAGGAAGCAGGACCCCAGCAGAATGTCCTTCCCAGAAAGGCAGAGGCGTTATCATTAACCAGAAGCGGGGCAGGTGCTAGTTCTTGCACCAGCCCCTTTGTCATGAAGCAGGGTCAAGCCTGGGTTAGGCACACAGTCCCTGCTCAGCTCTAACTGGCTGTGTGATCTTGGGAAATTTATTTTGGCTCCCTGAGCCTCATTCCTTTTAGGCAAAATGGCGAGAACTCTTAGTGCCTCTCTTACAAGGTCGTTCTGAATTTGAGGAAGATCATTCATGTGCAGGGTTCATTGCACCATCTAAACCTGGTGATGAGCATTACTTTTGAATTGTGGCCACATTCTCCCACTGGCTGGCTAAATGTGTTGTGATGTCTGAGAAATTTATTGAAATGAAAATCCAGCCAGAACCCTGGGTTTCAAACCATCACAGATTAGTGATCTAGAATACTGTTATCAGTTCAGCAGTTAAGAATTAATTGTATAGGTACATTCCATTAAAATATCAATAAGTAGTAGTAAGCAATTTGTTGCCAGAGTTTTATCTAATTGAAAACACATGGGAGGTTAACTTAAGGGACCAATCCAGATTGTAGGAAAATGATAAACATGATCAAAACAGAGATCCTACAATGAAGTCAATAATCCACATGGTAAATGAGATTAGCAGCCACTATAAGCACTGCTACATTAAAAAATATGAGGAAGTAATTTTCCCATCCAGAACCTCTTTAGATCCTCGCTGTAATTATCAACCTTGTAAGCATTCCCTTTCCCATTTGGCTCAATTAGTAGTTTAATTTATAAATTACTTTTTTATTAATAAATAACTTTATTTGGGGCTCTCAGAGCTCTAACATTCCATACATCAATTGTGTAAAACATCATTCTCAAAACATTTTCTTTCTACTTGAGCCCTTGGTATCAACTCCTCTTTTTCCCCTCTCTCCCCCACCCTCCCACCCTCATGGACCCCTGATAAATTATAAATTATGATTATTTTCATATCTTACACTGTCTGCTATCTCCCTTCACCCACATTTCTGATGTTTGTCCCCCTGGGAGGGTAGGTTGTATGTTGGTCATTGTAGTCAGTTACCAGTTTCTCCTCCTTCCTCCCCCCACCCCACCTTCCCTGTACCTTTATTGTATCGCTACTCCCATTACTGTTCTTGGGGGGTTATCTGTCCTGATTCCCTGTGTTTCCAGCTCTTATCTGTTCTCCGTATACCTGCTCTGGTCTCGCCAGATTTGTAAGGTGGAACTGGGGTCATGATAGTGGTGGGGAAGAATGCATTAAAGAACTAGAGGAATGTTGTGTGTTCCGTCGATGCTATGCTGCACCCTGGCTGACTGATTCTTTCCCTGTGACCCTTCTGTGAGGGAATGTCCAATTGTCTACAGATGGGTTTTGGGTCTCCTCTCTGACTCCCATCATTTGCATCAATATAGTTCTTTGTTTTAGGTCTTCTGATGCCTGATACCTGCTCCTGTTGGCACCTTATGATCACACAGGCTGATGTGCTTCTTCCCTGTGGGTTTTTTGTTTCTCTGCTAATGGCTGCTTATTTAACTTCAAGCCTTTAAGATCCCAGTTGCTATATCTTTTAACAGCTGGGCACCATCAGCTTTCTTCACCATAAATTAAATTTGGAAAATAAATTTTATGTTACCTATAAATCCTATGGAAGCAAAACTCACTGACATAGAGTTGATTTTGACTCATAGAGTCTAGAGAAATTCTAAATGAGTTAAAGAAGTTTAGAAAGTACCAAGAACTCTGAACTCTGAAAGAATAGCAGTTAAAATGTTAGTAGTATATCTCTAGAGTTTTTATTTTTAAACATAATTCAATATATATGTGTAAAATGTATTTGCTAACATTTATAGTGATTTTCTAATGGTTAGTGCATTCAAAGATACGTTTGAATTATTTTCCATGAGTTTTGCTACAGATTTTAAAAGCATCCTGGTTTCCCTTTTCTTTTAAAAAAATAAAACTTTATCTCTGCTTTTGCAATAACATCTAGCACTTTCGTTTAATGATAAACTACATGTAGCAAGAATTGCAACATCTTATGTAGGTGTCCTCTTGAGAAATCTCTACAAAAGCTGCCAAATACATTCTCTTGACCAAATTTATCTTTTTCTAATTGAAAATGGGCACTAACATGATTGTAGCTAAATATAAGAACCTCTTCTTAGTCTTAGTTAATTTTCCTTCATCTGTCAAATGTTGATTGCTTATAGCAACTCTAAAACTGGACAGAAACGATTATAATTTGGCTGAATGAGAAACATCATGTGACAATGATTATGCTAGTAGTTAGATGCGGGACAGTGGTTGCCAACAGAAGTTACATCAACTCATAAATGTATTAAAGAAATAGAGTTTTGGGTCAAAACACAAATAAATCTTCATTTTATCACTATTATCTAAATTATACAAACACTTAAAAAATGTTTGTCGTAAAACACCTATAAAATGATTCTCCACTTTAAACATTTTAATTGTACAACTTAATGACATTGATTGTATTCACAATGCTGCATCACAACCACAATGATCTACTTCCAAAACTTTTTCGTAACTCACACGGAAACTCTAGGAACTTGGTGTCAAAGTGGGTGATAGATGGGCTGCTAGCCACAAGGCCAGTAGTTCTGAACCCCTGGGAACTCCATGCTTTCTACTCCCATAAAGATGATCAGTCTCGGGAAGGCACAAGGTCAGTTCTCTTCTGTCGTGTGGAGTTGCTAAGACTCAGACTTGACCCTATGGCGCTGTCAGAATGGAAACTCAGAACCCACTAAGCAATCTCTCTGCAGAGTGGTTCCTTCTTGCCCTGTGTAATCACTAATCGCCTTTGGGTTCTATACGTTTGCCTATTGATATTTCATGAAAGTGATATTTTACAATATTAATCCTTTTGTATCTGGCTTGCTTTATTCACCATAATGTTTTCAAGGTTTGTTCATGCCACAGCATGTACAAGAACTTAATTTCTCTCTTTAAAAAACATTGTTTTGTAGTTGTTGAGAATCTAGACAGTAAAACAAGCACCAATCGAAGCAACGCTGCATTCAGTCACATTGGTTACAATCTCTGAGTTGTGTAAGCGTCTTGTCCTCATTTGCTGAGTTGTTCTTTCCTCATTAACTTAAACACACTGCGCTTTAAGGTTCACAACTACTCTTTACAGTTGCTCTTCCCAGCGTGATTCCATATTTTGTTGTTTTTGTCAGGTTCCATCATATCGGTTTCAACTTACAGTGCTTTAGTACAGTACAACAACACACTGCCTGGTCTGGTGCCATTCTCCAGCAATTGTTCTTATGTTTGAGCCCATTGCTGCAGGCACTCTTGTCAGTCCATCGTGTTCAGTCCCTTCCTAATGGTCCATCATCTCCTCTCCAGGATCTGCTTTTACTTTACTACATGTGCAAAGTACACGAGGTATGGCCACCCCATCCTTGCCTCTAAAGAGCATTCTGGCTGTACTTCTTCCAAGACAGATTTGATTCTTTTGACCCTCCGTGGTACTTTTGTCAGTCTTCCTTATTCATTGTCCAACTTTCACATTCATATGAAGTGATTGAAAAAACCAGGGCTAGGGTCAGACACACCTTCGTCCTCAAGGTAACATCCTTGATTTTCAACACTTAAAGAGGTTTTGTGTAGCAGAATTACCAATGCAGTGTGTCATTTGATCTCATGACTGCGGCTTCCATGAATATTGATTGATGATTTAAGGAAGACACAATTCTTGACAACTTCAATCTCTTCTCCATTTATCATGAACTTACCTATTGGCCTAGTTTTGAGAATTTTGGTCTTGAAATTCTGTTGTAATCCACACTAAATGTTGTAATCTTTGGTTTTCATCAGCAAGTGCTTCAAGTCCTCCTCACTTTCAGCAAGCAAGGCTGTGTTATTTGCATATCACAGATTGTTAGTAAGCCTTCCTCCAATCCTGATGTCACATTCTTCTTTATATAATCCATTATTTTCTCAGCATACAGATGGAAAAAGTGTGGTGAGAGGGTACAACCTGGAAATATGCCTTTTGTTATTTCAAACCATATAGTATTCTCTTGTTCTGTTTGCACAACTGCCTCTTGATTCAAGTGCAGGTTCCACATGAGCACAATGAATTTTTCTGGACTTCCTATTCTTCTCAAGGTAATTGTACTATGATCCACAAAGTCAAATGCCTTTGCATAGTCAATAAAACACCAGTAAACATCTTTCTGATATTCTCTGCTTTTAGGCAAGATCCATCTGACATCAGCAATGATATCTCTTGTTCTAATATGTTGCAATATTGAAGAATTCTATGGATAA